GAACAACTCGGTGGACACACCATCACTTAGCTTTGGTCTCGTCAACCAGATCAATGCTCCTCAGAGAAGTAGTATTCCACCAGACAAACAAGACTTGAGGGACCTGCTACAATCTCTACACTGCAGGATGGACACCCTCGAGCAGCTCTGCTCCTCCATGCCTGCTGCTGCTCCTGGCCCATGCACTGTCCTACCGACCCCAACAACCCCGTCCTGCCTCAGACCCTGCCGCCAGCCCCCAACACAGTGTACCTACCTTCTGTTGGTACCATCAACGTTTTGGTGCTAACGCTAGACGCTGTGAGGCTCCCTGCAACTACACGAGGAAGCAACATCGATGGGATTGGCAGACGCCATAACCTCCGACACTATCAAGCAGCACATCACACGCCTTACTTCTGACTTTGACCACTTCACTCCTGCTGCCCGTCACGACCTACTGCAAACACTACGACAGACAGTTTCAGCATTCAAGGCTACTTCCCCATGCCAGCCTTCCCATCGCCCTGAATACATCCCTCCTGCACTACTCAACACCAAGTATGTCTTCCTCAGGCGCGATGCTCACCGCAACCCACTTCAACGCCCCTACGAAAGAACCCTTCCAGGTTTTTGCACGGTCAGAGAAGTTCCTGATGATCATTTGCAATGGCAGACACGACACCGTCAGCATCGATCGAGTGAAACCGGCCACCTTACCAATGGGCCCCCAGCCCTGCATTACCCCCAACAAGCCACGCCTACACCAGTCTGCCCACAATTGCCACTTGCAGCACCACCTCGCCCATAACATTTCTGCATACCCTCTTTTCATCCTCAGGTACCTACTGCTCCTGATACGGACCCTGCTCGTGATGAGGATTCTGCATCCGGACTTATGGACCCAGACACTCCACCCGGCGCAACCGAGGACTTTGCACCTGCCGCGAGAGAAGCACCACATTCCTCGCCTGTTCAACCTCTTATCCACAACCCTCCTTCTCCCTCTGCTTCTCTCACAGATCTCATGTCCGTAGACGGAGTCGTCACCCATAGCGGCCGAGTGGTCCACACCCCCGCCCGTTATGTCTCACATGTGGAATACAACCCTGCCGACAAGTTTCCTGCAGTGCTTGGAGGGGAGGGGGAGTATTGTAGTGGATACTCTCCCTTACAACTGCCACTGCCGTTAGTCATTGATCAGCCAATCCCGCAACAAAGTTTCTCTGACAAGCCTAGTTGTCTAGATTAAGGGGGTGTCGGCCACAAGCGACGCTTACTTCCGGTGGACGTATATATAAGCTCACAGCCTCGCCGTGAAGTGGACATTAAACCTAGAGCTCTGCAACACACAACACCTCCTCTAAAGAAGCTCCTGCACAGCAACTCCTCTACCACGCACCAACTTCCCAGCACCAGACTGTTTTGTGTATAATATATTTATATAAGAAAACCACCATAGCTGAGTTTCCCTTCTCACCTCCATCCTATGTGCGATTCAACATCACGAAACCCCACAAGAGTATCTCTAGAAATTTGCCCCAGCTTATTTCACCTAAGATTAACTCCAGCTTATTTCACCTGAGATTAACTCCAGCTTATTTCACCTAAAATTAACTCCAGCTTATTTCACCAAAGATTAACTCCAGCTTATTTCACCTGAAGATTAACCCCAGCTTATTTCATCTGAAGATTAAATATCCTAATATTACCTGAGGTTGTGAGCTATGATGTGTACTGGTTAGGTTAGATTAATTTAGCTTAGGTCATATTAGAGTAGAATAGGTAGGTTAGATTAGGACAAGTTAGGATAGGTTACATTAGGTTAACCTTATGTTAGGTCAGCATTACGGTGTTTAATTATCAGGTGATATAAGCTGGGGGTACTAATGTTTATATGATCCACAGCTACTGCTCAACTGAGTGGTGTAGAGAGACTTGATGCAGCTGTCAGTTGTAAATAATTTTGTTAGTGGAGTCGGACAAGTGTGACCCTGGTGTGAGGACAAGTGTGACCCTGGTGTGAGGACAAGTGTGACCCTGGTGTGAGGACAAGTGTGACCCTGGTGTGAGGACAAGTGTGACCCTGGTGTGGGAACAAGTGTAACCCTGGTGTGAGGACAAGTGTGACCCTGGTTTGAGGACAAGTGTGACCCTGGTATCGGTGAGACAGACAACAGTAGATGTCACTGTACTGTCACTCACACCACACCTCTGATGGTCACTCGCACAAGTTTATTCCACCTTCCATTTCCTTGGCTAAGACTACTGATCAACCTGTAAATAAGACCAAGCATAAACCACTCAATGAATTAATGGCATGACTGTATTAAAACTATAACCAATCAGGATATGCTTGCAACATGTGGAACTGCTGTCGAATGACTTATCATTGTCATTCACACATTAACGTTATTTATAATAAATGTACTTTGCTAACTTCATCAATGTGTTTTTATTGCAAATTACTTAATATTAATAAATTTATGTTCATGTAAAATGAATCAAATACTGTACATCCTTTATTTATTGGGTCATGATAGTCACCCTGTCATAAAAGTACACCATATTGAGACTCCAGCCCGTCCTCCTACCACCCTTAGTTACACGAGTGTTGCATAAAATAAATAATAATAAATAAATAAATAAATATACATATAATGCTCAGACCTGTTACACAAGCTGGAAATACCACCCTAATGTGCGGTAAAACATTTTAAGCATAATTTGTGTTATCACTACATACTGTACTGTATTCTTACACTTGCTTTATACCCTACAAACTATGTTGTAACTGCACAAGTAACTTCATAAACCTATCCCATCCCATTAGCCTTGAACACCCTCCTCAACCCCCTTAACCCACCACTCCCGTGATCCCCCAAACCACCTCTCCCCTTCACTCATGGATGCTTTGGATGCAAGAGTTGATACTCTTGGTACTCACACCTCACGGATTGATAATGCTGACCTTAACAGTTGGGAAACTCCCCAACTGTACACTCGCTACTGAAACTATCTGCAAAGTGGGGTCTGATGAATGTCAAAATAAACACTGCAACTCCTGTTGTCTCAGTAGGATTGCCAGAATCCTTTATCTGTTGTGTCATATTGTCTACCAAAATATTTTGCAGATACTTTTTGTAGCAAGTGTACATTGATAAGTTCTGAGTGGATATTATGTGAATCCTCTCGAGGGAAGAAGTCTAAGCAACCTTATAAGTTACTCCTTTAGTTAAGAGGTACACCTTCCTGTTCAAAGGCTGTAAGCTAACTGTCTCACCCAGAATGTGTCGGACCAGAGGAGAGCTGCTAGCATCCCGGTAGTAACCGCATTTGTATACACCGACTGCATTAAGGTTTGACCCTTTGAGGAAGTTGCTAAGTCAAGCCTCACTGTTGTGTGACCCTGGCTCAAGCTGGTGTTGTGCTTACCCAGTTGACCCTGGCTCAAGCTGGTGTTGTGCTTACCAAGTTGACCCTGGCTCAAGCTGGTGCTGTGCTTACCCAGTTGACCCTGGCTCAAGCTGGTGTTGTGCTTACCAAGTTGACCCTGGCTCAAGCTCGTGCTGTGCTTACCCAGTTGACCCTGGCTCAAGCTGGTGTTGTGCTTACCCAGTTGACCCTGGCTCAAGCTGGTGTTGTGCTTACCAAGTTGACCCTGGCTCAAGCTGGTGCTGTGCTTACCCAGTTGACCCTGGCTCAAGCTGGTGTTGTGCTTACCAAGTTGACCCTGGCTCAAGCTCGTGCTGTGCTTACCCAGTTGACCCTGGCTCAAGCTGGTGTTGTGCTTACCCAGTTGACCCTGGCTCAAGCTGGTGTTGTGCTTACCAAGTTGACCCTGGCTCAAGCTGGTGTTGTGCTTACCCAGTTGATCCTGGCTCAAGCTGGTGCTGTGCTTACCCAGTTGACCCTGGCTCAAGCTGGTGTTGTGCTTACCCAGTTGACCCTGGCTCACCATTTTGAGAAAGTGGTGAGCCAGTCAGTTCATGATGATATTGTTATGTCTATGAATATATATTTATACAGTATGTATATTGAGGAGCAACTTTATATAACACTAAGGTGCTATTACACATGATTTATATATCCTACATGACAGTTTATATATCCAACAATAGTTTATATATCCTAAATGACAGTTTATATATCCTAGTGTCCTGTAGTATCTCCCACCAATCAAAATGTCAACACTACAGTATAAGGGACTACAGTAAGGGTCTACAGTATAAATATAATACAACCCTGGTACAGTATTGGGTTAACATAGTCTGTATCATAGGACATCTAATATTGTACTCATGTCTGTATTTGTCTTCATCTTAGCAGTGTTCTACTATATTCACATTTGATATAATTTTAGATATCTAAAATTTATTTCCCAATTACTGTACTGTACCAGTTTCATGGAACAAAACTAGACATGCTTGTATGAACCAAGACATTTTATAATAATGGTGGATGGCTTATTGCTTCACTACAGCTAAGTGAGTTTTGGAAGAGACATGCACCACCTAACATGAAATCAATTAAGCTGCACACAAAATAAACTCGTATCATTCATAAAAGGACCACAGTACTTTATACAAGTCATCAACTGGCACAATCACCAAAAATGCTTTTATTGTAGTTTGTAATGCAGCCCAAGTCATATCATACTGGATGACTATCTCCTGTTTCATCTGCTAGGAGCTACGTGTTGCAGAGTTGAAAATTATTAATTTGCTGCATAGAACTGGTGTATGGATTGGGAGAAAACAATGTGATCCTGGAGACACCTTACATATAAGTGCTTAACCCCACAAAAAAAATGTGGGGGGGGGGAGGGAGCAAAGCAGTACAAGTCAGTGAACCCAAGTAGAAATTGGAGAAAATCTTTCAATAGAAACTGATGACCCAAAATTTTTATGAGAGACATGGATAACTATGCAGCCAAAATTAATACATTCTCTGGAACTGTCACAACACATAATACATACAGGTATACATACTGTACATCAAAGGATAATCATACCTGGTAACACAAGTAGTAATTCCTTTATTCTGTAGAAGAAAATGGGTCAGTATCATCAGGGTTTGTATGCCATCTTTTCCTGCAAAATTAAGATGAGGGAAGACACAATCCCACAAATAAACAAACTTAATACTTTTTGCGAATAAAGAGTTTCTTTTCTTCACTACCAGCTTCTTCTGGAGGTTTTGTTTCAAAAACTTCATTGGTGGGATCACCTTTGCAAGGCTCACTTGGGGTTCTCTTCTTGTACCCTTCTTTCTGTTGTGCCTTGTTCATATATTTGAAGGCTGCTTTCTTTTTCTGTTCTCGTCGGATCTGTTAAGAAAGGGAATAAGATGGTGTGGATTATTTAAAGAATAAACTAAGTTACATAAAGGGGTATATACAATGAGGAGAAAGCTTCTAAAACTCTCTTCTCCCCAATGTTGTGCTCAACCTCTGTTGCTGACTCCTCATTCACTTTACCCAGCATACTTTTAAATGTACAATCGCCCAAATGAATGATGTCACGATTTTCAAAAACTTTTAATCAGAAAGTGGTGTCTGGCAACTAACAGATTTGCTCTACTTTCACTTTTATATTTTTTGAGGTGAAACACAATTTTGTGAAATAGTAACAAATTAATTAATAAATGATAAAGGAATTTTTCATAAGAATATTGTAAGAACAAGTCATGTACTGCACTTAAAATTTTAGTATATTTTGAAATAAAATACTGTACAGTAATATCTCCGTTAGCCAGAATCCCTCCAATAGCCAGAACTGAAATTTGCTCTGAATTTTTCCGGAAAATTCCCTAAATTCCGAGTTTGGGAACAAATTTCATGGTTGAAAATCAAGAGAATTTTCTGAAAATCTGAAAAACATCTGAAAATATTCTCCAAATTTTTATTTCTGAGAGTGGCAGCAAATTCCGATTATGAGATAATATGCAACTACCTGAAAAATCTGAAAAATTTGAGAAAAAATATCTCCAAACCTTTCTGCTCCGGGCCTGGAGACAAAGGTTCCAGGTGTCAGGAAAGATTGCATCATGCTAAGCAGCTTCCTCGTGTGCTGGGTGTGTGGGGCGGGAAGACTGCATGGGTAATGGTAAAATTTTTCCACTCTGGGTCTAGGAACTAATTCAGAGGATGAATTAAAGCAATATCAGGAGAAAATGGAGAGAAAATATCTCCACACTTTTCTGGTCCGAGCCCGGGAACAAAGATTCTCGGTAAATGACGAAATATTACATCATGCTCCCGGGTCCTCTGTGCGTGGCTGGGAAGACTCTTAGATAACTTAGGTAGTAGGCTCGTGCGCTATGCTGTCATGTGACCTCATGGGATATCTGTGATAAGGCTAGCATCAGGACACACTTAGTTCATTACTGCTTTGTCACCAGCCACTCAACAAGGTTCATCTCTTGCTCGCTCCTGTTTTTGTGTAAAAATTTTTGTGCAGTACTGTACAATTGCTGTACATAGGACACAACCTACAATACCATGTTTAAGCAGTGTTAAAACGTGAACAGTGATTACAGTGTGTAATTTTACTGTTAATTAACACTGTGTGAACACTGTACATACACTATTTCACATAGCAGTGGCCACTGTTTGTGTACCACACGTTACTGTACCAAGACACACTCAAGTAGGTACTGTACTGTATGGTGTTCAGACATCAACAATAATTACAGTGTGTAATTTTACATTGTGAATTAACATTGTGTGAATACCATACATACGCTAACGTGCATAGCAGTGGACAATTGTGTATATCGTAACATTGGTAGCATCGTGTGCAGTGTTATTTGTGTATGTACTGTACTCTTTATGTGTACTACAAAGCCAAAAGCTACAGAGAAAATCCGTGGCACCAAGGGGTTGAAGAAAGGCCCAGATGAGCACACTTGTCTGTCTTTCCATCATGGATATGAACCTGCAGTACCACAATGGCACCAAACAGTGAGAAATGGTTGGAATGAAAGATCTGTTCCTGGGTGCTGCAATATAGCCAATAATAAGAGGCAGGTGGGGCATGATGAACAGCTTGATGCAGCAGGAACTCTTAGCCTTCAGCCTTATTGGTAACTATTGCTTTTACCATCCCCTTTTAAAGGTCATATTTGTGACAGGAAGGCACAGTATAACCTTTAGTTTAGTCCCACTCATCTTTGTCTAAGGTTTAACTGGGTTTTGAATCTGTCAAGTCATAAATAAATATTGAGATATACAGTATTCTCGAACCTTATATTATAATAACTGTAAATTTCTTACCAAATTAGGGTTTATGAAGTGCGAGTTCTCCCACAAGGTGACTCCACCAAAGCTGCTATCAAACACCTTAATGGGATCCAAAACAAATCTGGGGCCTGTGAAGAGATATGAAAACATGATGTCAGTACATGGGTGTATCTTACTCCATACTGAACTGAATAATGGGGACTAGAACTGAAGCTCACAACAAAACTACAAATTTCACTTATCTTTAACTGTTGCAGGAAAGCTGCAGGTTGAAGTAAAACCATTCTATAATATTAAGGAATGTGTTAAGGTAACTGAGAGTAGGAGTGAAGACAGTTGTATGCTTCTGGTTGGTTAATATATAAAACAAAGGCCAGGTAGGTTGACTCAGGATCAAACCTGTTACTGAACAGTGGAACACAGCCTGTTGGTATAATGTCTTCATGCAAATAATTCAGAATTTGTTTGAAGTCATAATACCATCCCTCTTTATATTACTTGCCAACTATCATTAAACCATTTTGTATCAAGTAATTATAAACATGGCCGACTCTCCTCCAATATAAAGGCCCGCAGCCCCTTCCAAGGGTCATTCATTCAAGCATTCATATTGAGACGACTTTCACAACACTATCGACGGAAGACAGACACGCTAGTCACTAGTCGAGGTGGGGAGGGAGACTTCCCTCCCCAGCACTGCGTCTCCAGCTAGCAGGGTCTCCCATAGGAGACATAGTCCAGCAGCACCTACTAGGCCTCCCTCAGGTCACACGTGAGTCATTGTCAGAGCTATCCATAGGGTGAGTTACTTACAGTGGGAAGTGTATCCATTTTATGTTTGTGTCCGAGAGTCAGTGTCTAGTAACGTAAATATTTACGTTCTAGTAACTTCGATATAATGTTCTATTAATGTGTCTGTGTCATTGAGTGAATAATAAATAGCTGTACTTAGAGGCGGTGTTTAGAAGATTTCCCCTAAGAATGTATTTACAGATAAATAACTAATCGGCCACGCTACCAAACTTCCTCACTTTACATTCCTACAACTAAATATTCTATCTATACTTTCTACCTCTAAATCCCCCCCCATTACACTAATGAGCTTCCACTGAACAACTTTTAAATCCTGTCAAGATTCCAACGACCCGACGAAATTATTCATATTACACGTGGTTGGCCATTGTTCTGGTGGGTGTAACTTAAGACTTAAGTGGATAAGCAGATCCAAACAAATGGTAAACCAAGAAAAAATGATACTGCACACATCAAAATCCCAACAGTTGTGTCAAGTCAAATACAATTCTAACCCGACTACTCTAATTTAAAAAATAATAAACAGATGCTCCTCTACTTACGAACGAGTTACGTTCCTGAGGCTTGTTTGTAAGTCCAATTGTTTGTAAGTCCAACTTTACTACTGTAGATACCAAACATAATGTAAAAAAATGAAGAGATTATGGATATTTAGTACAGCTATTACCCTTTAATACAGCCTTAAAACCTGGCTCACTCTTTTCTTTGGTAATGTTGGTTCTATCTGAAATTTTCTTCAAAATAATCCAGTCTCAGCCACATTAAACACCTGTTCTGGCAGGTAACCCCCCCTCAGTGATGTTTGTTTCTCTGAAATTTTGTAGGTTGAACGTTCTTAAGTAGAGGAACACCTGTATTTAACAGACAACAAGACCTGAAGTATTTCCCTGTAATATAATGCAGATCATAAGAGAGAAGATAATAACTTTTGGCAGATATTATGTCCAAGCCCATAACCCTGAAGTGGACATCCAGTTAATCTCCATCTGACGACTAAAGTAAAATGTATTAAACATCTAATTATTCCTTTACCTGTGGCTTAACATTTACGATGGAGGTTGGCTGAGAAATTAGTGGGTTATGTTACTGACCTGACCTGATGCAATATCAAGTCATCCATTGTCACGGTGGGGATTTGCAAGTCTTATGACCTGGAGATGTCTTGAATAAAGACAAAAGCTAAGGTGCTCCAGTGTTTCCCACTTACTGAATGTACAGTATAGTATAGTATGCGTAACTGTAATCACTTTTTACGTTCTTAACACTGCTTTAACTCTGTATTCTTGGCTGATTTTATTCTGGTACAGTAATGCACAGCAATGCACAACACAAATTGTACACTAAAACAGCAGCTAGCGAGGGAACAACCTTCTGCAATGGCAGCAGAATATGAACTAAGTGATCCAAACAGCTGGGCCACCCATGCACCTGGCACATGGGGATGGGTTGGAGCATGATGCAATATTTTGGAATGACCTGAAAATTTATTCCCAGACCCAGAAATATTTTTTTTTTTTTAGATTTTCCAGAATTTTTCTTAGAATTTTCACAAACTGTACCTGATTTTAAATTAAGAAATTTGTTCCCAATCCCAGAATTGAGAATTTCTCCAAAAAATTTATTTGCAAATTTCAATTCCTGCTATTGGAGTTTCGATTAAGAGGGATTCCGGTTCGCGGAGATATTACACCCACACCTGGTAAAACGTCTGTCTTTAAAAAGACATGTAAAATAACTATGAGCCAGGGTTGTACCTAACACAATTTGGTTATGTCAGCCACAAACAACTTGCTGGATGAACGTTTGCAACATAAGGAAATCATGACAAAACTCTCCTTACTACAATAATAATGCCAAGGCTATGTGGTCCAACCTTAATACTGTACACATTCTACATGCATAATATAGAGGTGAATACACTTAACTTTCCCTTTAGAGATCAGTAAAGTCAGGAGCATACATCTGCACTTTGTGGAGGCAGTCGAGACTGTGGCTGGTCCAAGAATTGCACAGTTGTGGTGCAGTGCATACTGCTGATGTGACTTTGCTAACTAGTTAAGCTTCAATCCTGAGTGGTACAGTAACCGCTGTTTCCAAATAATTTTTGAAGGGCTTTAGTTTGAGTAAGAAGGTAGAACTGATCAATGGATTCGTCTCAGTCTCCTGTCTATGGTTTTCTGAGTTTCAATCAGCTACAAAACAAATAATGTCCAGTATCAATCCACCCACCTTTTAAGAAAGAAACTGTACAACTCTCCATGAATACAAATAACAGCATCATCAACAGAACACAAACACTTACCAATTTCAGATAATTTGCCATCCATTCCCAATATTTCATAGTTGCGGAACCATATCTTGTTATCCAGGACGGAGAACATGAACACATGGTCATGGAAGGGTTGGCTCTTTGGATGGTTGTTTGGGGTACCGAAGGCTTGCACAAAGAGCTCTTTCATAACAGACCAATGGGGTTCATCAAAATTAGGATCAAAGCTCAGGAAAGGTCTTGAGCCTTTTAAACAGTTGCCAACCATCTTGAGCTCCTTCATGGTGTGGACTGAAAATGTAAACATTTTATGATATATATATATATATATATATATATATATATATATATATATATATATATATATATATATATATATATATATATATATATATATATATATATATATATATATATATATATATATATATATATATATATATATATATATATATATATATATATATATATATATATATATATATATACATATATACATATATATATACATATATATATATATATACTCCAAAAACAGGCCAATACCGATACATCTCTAGCCTTAAATACTGTATGTCAAACATGGGACAGCTTTTCCTATAACACTAGATCTCAAACAAAAAATTATTCCAATCTGTGTCTGCTTACCATTAAGCATAAGAAACTTAACAGATGGCCCTCTTGGAACATTGGAGATCCACATGTACAAATCTTTTTTCTTTTTATTTTCAAAATAGATGCACTTGTTGCAGTTTCTCATCTCTGCTATCTGGAAGTAGATAATTACAGGTAGTACAGTACAGTATCATAATATAAACATTTATGACTAACAAAAACACTCAAAATTCTCAAACCAAATATAGCTTCTCTAGTTCATTTTCCCTTTCTAAATCCATTTTGCTCTTCAGATAACTCACTTTTTATTCTAAATTTTATTCTACTTAAAATTATGTTTAATAAAACTTTGCAGGCACAACTTATTAAGCTTAGTGTTCAAAACTGAGTGCACTCTGAGACTCCTGGCTTTATAGGTACAGTAATAGCTAATACAAATATTGATTCTTGGAAAGCCCTAGGAAGGTCTCCTTTGAAGTACTGTACTGTGCTGTACATAGAATTATACATTTTAGTCAAACATTTTATCCCATTCTTGTCCATTTGTTTTATAAATTCTTCTGGAAGTTCATCAACCAAACAGGTTTTAACATTTTTTATTTGCCTCACAGCTGCCTCAACTTGTTACAAGGATTGGCATTTCGATTTTTATTGCCTTTTCATTTCTTACCTCCACTATCTATATCAATGTATAGTTCTTCTAAGTACTTTGCCCATCTCTCTTTTACTTCTTCTGCCTCAAACACAATCTTAGTGTCTTTTAATTGCTCCATCCCTTTTTATTTCCCTTTTCTGTTATATTTGTTTAATTTTTCTGTACATTCCCTATAATTATGCCTTCTGTCACCATCATAATACTGGAGATATAAAACTTGGAAGCATCAAACTTTGACCAATGGTTAATAATTAAATACTGTATTGCTGATTACACCTGTCTGATCTCCCCTTGTTCTTCTGTCTAGTATTACTAAAACAGATGTCCATTTACATTTATATACAGTACTATACTATACCTCATTAATAGCTCGGAGGTCATCTTTACGCTCCTTCTTTGCTTCAGATTTGCTGTGTGGCATTAGAGACCTAAGGTCTTCCATCAGGTGACGGTCCTGAGCCATCAAACCACGAGAACCAAACACCAACACACGCTGTTTGTTGGTCCATTTACCCCGCTGAAAAAAGTCTTCAATTAACAAAATATTCAGGGAAAAAAACTTGTTAAAAATGAAGGATTGAAAAATAAAAATCTACAACCCTATAACACAATATTAATATCAGGGGTGGGGCCAAATATGCAGTGTATTTATATTTACAATAAAAATAGAGAAAAATTGGTACAGTATTAGTGTTTTATTTGTATTTGGAAAGGAATTAAAGTCGCATATTTCTATTTAATTTGCATTTGATGCTGTTATTTGTTTTATTTGCTTCAAATACAGTTTACATACAATACCCGAGATAATTTTGTAAACTTACAGAATGTGTTTGATTTCCCACCATATTGTAGCACATAAAAACAAATAAAATAAAAACCCCAATCATTAAACGAGAGTTGGCCAATGTAAGGGAGAGAACCTTAACAGTTGTTGACTTATTTAACTTAGCTTGGAAAGTGTAGAAATTTGATGTATACTTAACAAAATACAGCACAACACCAGGCACAAGCCTACACGAACAATCAGGAGAAAATAGAATACGTACTGTGTTGTGCCATGATACTTTTTTACTTCTACTTGAATACACTGAACTTTGGATACTTTTACTTCTACCCGAGTAACATTTTGCCAACGTCACAATAATTTTATTTAAATAACAAGGTCCGGTACTTTTTACAACTTTGGGTTAATGAATATGCCAACATTTTATCTAGATGTATTCTGGCCTCCCTCGTGACCTAAATACAGTACCTAAAACATGAAGACTCACTGATGAAACATCAAAACCATGAAAATACATCAATAATATAACTTTTTCCTCTTTCCTCTGCCATCGGTTACGTAAGGTAAGCTTTTCATTGGGTAATGCTGGAGAACACGGTTAGCACCAGAAATAAATTATAGAATTGAACCAAAATTTCTGGAGATATTAATATCATGATCCTGAACACAAAAAATGTTAATGAGAAGGCACAGAACTAACAGAACTAGGCCTAACCAACCTAACTAAATAAACCTACATAAACTTTCCTAATTTCCTAGCCGAGAGCAGACCTCCAGCATATTACCATAGGCAGAAAGAACTTACAGTACAATACTTTGATATTTGGTACCAAGGAAGCAAATTTGCAGCATTAGTAGGAACTTAGTCTGTCACTCCAAAATATCCACTACAATATATACATTATATGACTCAATATATAAGGGTATTATTATCGCTTCAGTCATCCGGCGATTTTTAGGATTTTGAGTTTTGGAATCAGTAGTTAAGACAATTCTAAGACACCTTTCTAACACCGTCTCAGAGAGCTCCTGTGTTGGTTACTATGCTGCATTACGCATGCGCTAGAGTCTGACACATGTGCAGTTGCTCTTGGGACGTTGATTGGTGGGTATGATTTTGGATCAACCAATCACAGCTCAGTACAGGCCCCCCGCAGCTATCCCCTTGAATTTGAATTTAGTTCCAAGATGTCCGTAGAGGGATCTAAATGAGTGGGTGAAGCGACCTAGCAACAGGTCAGCCTAGTTCAAACAGTACTTGGCGAGCTACTTGTTCATCACGCAGTTCAACGAGAACAGGCTACTACACCAGTTCTTATCACTGCTGCCGACAAGGTCTACACCCCCGAGTCTTCTGAGCCTAAGGTAAGTACACAGGTGGATAGATTAGATTTAGGGTTAGGTTAGGTTTAGAGTTAGGTTAGGTTAGGTTGCGTTAGGCTTTCGATTATTCTGACCTTTATTCTTGTCGCAAATTACTACTTTTTGTGATTTTCCACGGTAAATATTTATTTCAGCACACCCTAGAATTTTTTCATGAAATGTTTGATTTCTGATGTGCTTTGATGAGCTTTGTTCCAATCTGACCTTCGTTTCCCTGGGAAATGCGTCATTTTTCAAAAAGAGATACAAGTCATCCTTGATCAAAAACGGTTACCTGTATTTTCCATCAAAAACAAAGGTGAGATCTGAACAAAATACACCAGAAACCAAACATTCACTAAATTAACCTACCTTAACCGAACCTAACTTCACCTTACCCCTTCAGGAAGCCCTAACCCCTGTGGGAGGCCCTAACCCCTGCGGAAGGCCCTAACCCCTGTGGGAGGCCCTTACCCCTGCGGGAGGCCCTAACCCCTGCAGGGGGCTCTAACCCTTGCAGGAGGCCCTAACCCCTGTGGGAGGCCCTAACCCTTGCAGGAGGCTCTAACCCTTGCAGGGGGCCCTAACCCCTGCGGGAGGCCCTAACCCCTGCGGGAGGCCCTAACCCCTGAGGGAGGCCCTAACCCTTGCAGGAGGCTCTAACCCTTGCAGGAGGCCCTAACCCCTGCAGGGGGCCCTAACCAACACGCCTAACAGCTCGAGACAGCTTGCAGTGGGACAAGAAATGATGGGTGAAGGTTTAATGATATAATTTGTTAGACGCTCCTCACAAGTACAAATTTTGGTAAATTTGCACTTCCACCTCCCACTCTGTTAGAAAGTCAAAAATATATTTTACGAGTGTATTTGTGTGTGTTTAGACCGAATATGACCATCATTTCTGGCGGAAATTGGCCGGGTTTTTTTTTATCAATTTTTTTTCGTTGGACGTTTTCCAAAAAAAAATAATGGCTAAGCGAATAAAAAATACACCAAAAAACACTAGAAAAAAAATCCAAACCTAACCTAACCTAACTGACTCTCGCCATATGATGGAATCACCTATTTCTTACCTTATGTCCCTATGACAACGCCACATATGTTGTTCTTTGCGGTATTTACATTGTCTTTCACTTAAGACACTTTACTGAGGTTGGGAGAACACCATGCAATCGAAAAAATGCTGTAGTTTCTTCATTTTTTTTCCCCAAAACTCGCGATCAGCTCCATATAATTGAAGTGACACCCGTGACCCATCGCATACTTCCATGGTCGAAAATTAATTTGAATTTCGAAATATGAGACCCAAAATAAAACTCGAATTTGATTGGGCCAAAAATACTGCGAATTAAACCCAAAATCATTTTAATTGGTTGCAAAAAAAAAAGCTTTTGATTGGCCGCCTGACGTGTACGGGAACACAAGCGCGTGATGATTTATGGAGACACGCAGTGTGGGAGGTGAGGTTGACGATAATGGCGCAAGATTAATGGAAGAAAATAGAGAAAATTTTTGATACGCTATCTCCGTTATTATACATTTGCGACAGTAATGTAATAGATGAAAATTATCTTATAATTAGACGTCTTATTCGAATATGATAATAGATTAGTGGTAAGAATGTGTGGTGTGTAAACGTAATATTACCCAATTTTTTCTGAAACATGTTTCCAAGAGGCTTCAAAGGTTGAGTAATGTATATACGAGATAGAAATTGCCTAAAAGTTAATGCTTCAATGCGATTTGAAGATGTGCTAAACCGAATAATAACCTTTTCCACCACCAAAAACCCCTGGTTCACACTGGGGGTCTCCTAAGAGGGATTTAAAAAAATAGTGATTAGCGGGAGAAATGAAGGTCAGATTCATTCAAAACACATCAAAAACCATTGGAAAAATATAACTTCAACTTCCAACAACTTAGAAAAAGTACTCTGGTAAATATTTATGAGATATTTACAACATAAGCAGATCTTTCTAAAATCACACTCAAATGGTTTCCGACCATAACTCTAACCACATACAATACTACACGACTTTATCATATGCTTTTCCTGAAAGTTACAATTACCTTTTTCTTAGGAGGTTCATTTGAATCTCTCACAAGAGGAGGAAGAGGAGGAGGTTCAACCTTTTCTTCCTCAGTAACACCTGCAGCACGCTTCCTCTTCCCCATGCTGCTTGCCTGATGGTCTCTGTGTTGTTGACGTTCTGGTAGACAATACTGACAAACTCTTCTTTTAGGACTTAATCCTTGTACTTTTTCATTTACTTTAGTAGACTCTAAAAAAGTTTATATTTTTATAGTAGAAAATTAATAAATATCAGGTTTCTAAAAGAATAATTAAATATTGTGTAAATAATCTAAAATCCAAGATATATCATTTTAACTAAAAGAAAGTTTAGTTCGCCTTCGAAACTTTGCATTTATTTCTAAGGCGTGAGCTCGAGATGAATGTGTAGTTATATTGACTTATTTAGGCCTAACAAGACATACAATACTGTAGATACTGTTGAGTCATGGTATGTCGTTATGTAGCGCCTTACAGGAGGTCTTGGTCCAGGCCTATACTTGTAGTGTGTGTGTGTTTACTTTTACTTTTACTTTTACTTTTACTTTTACTTTTATCCTCTTCGCCACTGATCGGCTTGTTAGCCGCTTGGGCGATCGGTCACGTCTCTTTTCATTTATATTCTTCACCAAAAGATCGGCTCGCTAGCCGCCCGGGCGATCGGTCACGTCTCTGTCACGCACTGTTGGCAAGTACTGGGCATGCACCGGCTCCTGAATGTACCTGAACCCGCTCCAGTGTTGGTCAAGTCTTCTCTTGAAAGAGCTCACACTCGGTGCCGTCACAACACTCTCTGGTAGATTGTTCCAAGAGTTTACAACCCTCACTCCGAAAAAGTTTGCCCTCACGGTTTTCTGGACTTGCGGCTTCTTCAATCTTGAGCTGTGACCCCTTGTGGGGCGAGCGTCCGCCAGCTCCAAGTAAGGACACTCAACTGAGTAGTGCCCCCTGAGATGCTTATACACCTCAACTAGGTCCCCCTTGCCCGTCTGTAGTATAAGCTAGGCAAGTTCAGGCGCTCCAATCTCTCAGGGTAGCTGAGGTGCCGAAGCGCAGGCACCAGTCTGGTGGCCCTCCTTTGAACATTTTCAACCAACTGACAGTCCCTAGCATATCTCGGGGACCAGATGGGGTGACAGTACTCCAGATGGGGAAGCACTTCACTTCTGAAGATCGTCACGAGGGACGGACCGTCTAGATATCTGAACGACCTTCTTATAAGACCCAATAATTTATTTGCCTGATTTACCTTCTTCTCACAATGGCCCGAGAACTTCAGCTCATTGTCAACATACACACCTAGGTCCTTCTCACACACAGTCTCAACTAGTGCAGTTTCTTCATCCCGTTGGGACATATGATACGCCTCCTTACCGTTGGTACGCCCCAGGTGCATCCTCTTACACTTCGTGACATTGAATCTCAGCAGCCATTTCTTCGACCATTCCTGGAGCCCACAGAGGACCTTCTGCAGCTCTTCACAGTCCGCTTGGTTCTTAATTTCCCGAAATAACTGAGCGTCATCGGCAAACATTTGTATGGAGGAGTGTACAACGTCAGGCATGTCATTTATGAAACAAACAAACAACAGCGGGCCCAATACACTGCCCTGTGGTACCCCACTTGTTACAGGTACAGTTGACGATTTCGTGCCATTAATCACCACACACTGCTTGCGGTCATGTAGAAAATCTTCTATCCACGCTCGGACATTTCCCCGAATTCCGTACCCTTCAGTTTGATTTTCAGCCTATCGTGGGGTACACTGTCGAAAGCCTTGGCAAAATCTAGATAAATATTGTCGATATTACCACCCCGTTCTAGAATATGGGTCCAAATATCCAATACCTTGAGCAATTCTGTTAAGCAAGAGCGCCCCGGCATAAAACCGTGTTGGCAATCTTTTACAAGGTTGTTTCGTAGTAGATGTTCCATCGCGGCATCTCTGATAATACTCTCAAGTACTTTACATATTATGCTGGTCAGGCTCACCGGTCTATAGTTGTTCGTGGAGTGACTATCGCCCTTCTTGAAGATAGGACTCACATAAGCCACTTTCCATTCACTGGGGACCATTTGTTCATCCAGGCATTTACAAAACAGAATCTTCAGGGGCTCTGCAAGCTCGTTGCACAGCTCTCTTAGCACTCTAGGATGCACCATGTCAGGTCCGGGACTCTTATGGACCTTTAGCCTGGACAGTTTATTTCTAATACCCTCTTCTGTGAACACAATGTGGGTCAGTGCTGTGTCGAACCGTCTGTCCTCAAACGCAGGAAGGTTAGTTGCATCCTCTCTTGTGAACACTGAGGAAAAGAAGCTGTTCAATGCCTCAGCTTTATCCTGGTCAGAATCTGCGTAACTACCATCTTCAAGCCTCAGGTCTGATACTCCTACTCGCGTTTTCAATTTCGACTTTGCATAGCGGTAAAACGCCTTTGGGTTTGACTTGACCTCGCGTGCAACCAGACTCTGGAACTCCTTTTCAGCCCTCCTACACTCTATCTTTGCTTGGTTTCTGGCTCTTGCATACATCCTCCTGTCCTGCTCATCGTTTGACCCAACCCACGTCAAGTACTGGGCATGCACTGGCTCCTGAATGTATCTGAACCTGATCCAGTGTTGGTCAAGTCTGGTCTTGAAAGAGCTCACACTCGGTTCCGTCACAACACTCTCTAGTAGATAGTTCCAAGAGTTCACATCTCTGAAAAAGTTACACCTCACAGTTTTCTGGACTTGTGGCTTCAACTTTGAGCTGTGACCCCTTGTGGGGCGAGCGTTCGCCAACTACAGGTAAGGACACTCGACTGAGTAGTGCCCTTTGAGTTGTTTATACACCTCAATTAGGTCCCCCCTTGCCCGTCTGTTGTATAAGCTAGGCAATTGCAGGCGCTCTAATCTCCCAAGGTAGCTGAGGTGCCGAATTGCTGGCACCACCCTGATGGCCCTCCTTTGGACATTTTCAATCAACTGAGTCCCTAGCTAAATATACACTTCAAGTTATCAAGCTTTAAAAACAAAAAGTTTGAGTTTAAAGAAGAATTTATCGAGTCCTTGTTTTATTTTACGCGCGAAATGGAAATATATATATATATACTAGCAGAAACGCTAGGCCACGGTAGGACGCCACCCTCCGGGAGGCTCCACATTGTCTCACTGTAGTGCATTAGGGTAGACCACATTTTTGGTTTTGTCATTAGGAGTAAGTATGTACAGATTTTTGCCAGTTCCCACTCTGGAGCATCCAACATAGAACTGTCCATGAGAGAAGCAAGAAAACACCAGGTTTAGGCCAACCATCTTTAGGGACTGTCCTTTGTGTTTGTAGATGGTCATTTTTTTTTAATGTTAGTGGAAAAAATTTCTTTACGAAGGATGAAATACTCGAAAGATATTCATTCAAATTTACATCTCGTGGACAGTTTTGAACCTTCGCCAAATTTGTGACAACCTTATTAACTACTAAAGCCTTTAGTTTAATTCACTCAAACAAATCGGTGTAATGAAGTCATTCTAAGTGGATATACTAAATAAAAGAACATAGAAAGTTATTTAGTTTATTAAATATAATAGTTGGTGATAAAATACTGACAATGGAGTTGAGAGTACACAGTAAATGAAAATCACGAAACACTATAACCAAATATTTTAGAACTACTGTATGCTTATAATTTCTCTCGATTACATTATTTATTTATTTTAGATCTAATTAATGTTCTCTAATATTAGAACACAATGCTTTAAATATGTTTCAAATGAAGTTAAGATCAATTTGATCTAAGCTCATGAAAAAATCATTAAGAATTATAGTTACCCTTTAAATTTCCAGCGTTGACAATAACTGTTATTTCTCATAGACTTAAAATTAACTGATAAGATTTTCAATGAGGAAACTGCATCCTCGTGAGCTTGAGTTGTGGAGATCATGTACAGTGACGTCATTCACCTGTACGTTGGGTTCACGTACATTGTGGCTAAGGTGTGTTGTAGTCAGATTGTGTTTATCGTTAACCATCTGTGTGTCGGAGAAATCCATGGTGAGCTTAATCAACTCTGGGTAATGTTTTGAGTAGTCCTGCAGGCCACAGTCATCCTTGGTATGAGGAGTATTTGCTTTTACATCAATTATCTTAGGCATGAGGAGGTCTGGGCGCACTTGTTGCTGCGGCAGGAGGTGTGGTAGGTGCTGCAGGAGGGACCAAGAGCTGGGGAACTGGTCTCTCGGGTCAGCAGTTCTACCAGGGTTTTCAAAAGGGTATTTATATATTTCATATTCTTTGTTTGTATGTGATATTATACCTAAGTGCTTAAAGGCATGTCCTGGCGTTGCCTCCATCTTTGTTTTGTCTCCCAGTATTTCTTTAGCAAATTTGTGGGCATTCTGAAGGAAGTTCGGCTTTTGGGGAATAATGAAATTTTTAGAAATTCCTGTAATGGTCCTGACACTGCTCTGATGGTCACTTTCCTGAAGTTGGTTATCAGAACAGACTGATGTAGGACTTGAGACATGAACGGTTGCTGAGTGTAGAGTATCACCTGATCTTGATGGAAGATTGTCAGTGGAATCCATGTTGCACTTGATCTTGTGTTCCTCCTGCTGAAGAATTATTTTCACCGTGTTCTCTGTAGCGTCTTGCGTAGTTTTAAGAGACCCTGTCGTACTAGACGGTTGCCTTGGGCGTCTCTTTCTGCGTCTGTAATTCCCATTTTCAAACATATCAGAGCAGCCAGGATCAAGGGCCCAGTAGCTGCCTTTACCTGGTCGGCCTTTGTCTCTTGGAACCTGGAAATGAGATTTGCAAGTTAGGCAACATTTAAATGGAGAAAGCTATATTTTTATATTTGCCTCCATAAATACAGAATGTTTATTTATTAAAAATAGTGTGCAAATAATCATACAAATATGAAAATATGTATGACAGTTATATAGGGAAGACGTATGCTGTATTATTCTTTATGAAAAGTTTGTGACATATAAACAGTAACTAATGTATCAGATATGTTTACATAGTTCTTGGCTTTGTTGTCTACTTGTGAACTACCTTACAATCCGATGAATTGACTTACATTAAAAATTCATGAAATTAACATTTGTATTTGTTGAATACTTATGAAAGAGGAGCGAGGGAGGATGACTAACCTTGATGAAACAATCATTGAGACTGAGGTTGTGACGAATACTGTTCTGCCAGCCCTGCCTGTTGTGTCTGAAACACCATAAAAATATTAAAACTCCTCATCACCACTACAGGTACTACAGCTGGCTCACAACACATGGTTTCTCTCGTTTTTAACCTGACGTGAGGTATGGCGCACCAAAGGGAGGGACGACTGGGAACGATCCCCACCCCTTGAGCTAATAAATTATTCAAATAAAGAATTTTTTTTAAATAAGAAAAGAAAAATAACAATATCAAAATAAAAATATTAGCATCACTTATTGAACAGTAAACTCATCATGAAAGTAGAGAAAAATATTAATTATCTCGTATTTCAACAATATCTTGGTATATTTAGCTCACCCTTTGGAAAATTCCTGGGTACGCCACTGGAATGAGAGAACATTGTATGCACACACACACACCTGTAGTAAGGGAAGCGATCCATGATGAACCTATAGATGCCTGCCAGCGTCACCTTCTGCTCCGGAGCGCTCCTGATAGCCATGGCGATGAGCGCAATGTATGAGAACGGCGGCTTCTGGTGTACTGTGGATATACATACACAGTTTATTAAGATAAAAACTATACATGAATGCATACTTTAAAATATGGCGTAATTTGCATAGGGACATAGCTTACATAATGATACATCAATCATCATACGAAGAAATTTTCGTCTCCCGAACACCGTACAAGCCTAAACACTTTACACATGGAATTTGTTTTAACAGGAACTCACTTTATACATACAAACTCTTTGTACAAGCACGCACACACACACACACACACACACACACACACACACACACACACACACACACACACATTGTAGAGCGATGCACACTTGGTACATTAACACATACTCTATACAGTGACACTGAACGATCAGTGGCATGTTGTGGTACTTTGTACTGTGTTCAGTACAGGTAAATGCTCGGTATAGGGACACATGTCATGCTGAACAAGAGACACGCCTTGTAGAACATTTTCTACAGTCACGCTGTACAGGGGCGCATTCCTGACCAACGGTAAACAGTAATCCGTATTGTACAGCGACACAGTTTTCATAGTGATGCACTTTGTACAGAGATACAGATTTTTACCACGGGTATAGATTTAGCACAGGGACACCAACTTTGTTCGCGAGGGCACGTTGAAAAGTCACAATTGGTACAACTAACAAGTGGCACTTAGAATGGGCTTTGAACAGTGGCACACTTTAGATATACACACTCTGAAGACCCACATCCAGCACAAGCACCAACGATGCAAGTTCCTGGTCTTACTAACAAAATATAGAATGAATTGAACTTTGTTTGATTTTTTTTCCTCCATGGTTGTTAATGGAGTAGAATCATACTGAGGAAAAGGATGCCAGTGTAACACAACAAAGATCCATCCAGTAAAATAACTTTTTTTCCCGGTGCTGACGAAAACTTCTGGCCACATAAAAAATAATCAATTTATTTTTTAACTTTAGAGATTTCAGCATCCTCAGTTTACCCTAACAAAATACTGAACACAACTCAAAAGTGAGTGTGTATGTGTGTGTGTGTGTGTGTCAACAGCGTTGTGAGTGATTGCTTTGAAATACCATGGAAGTGCTTCGGGGATGTGTGGTATCAGTATCACTTGAGTTACTTAAAGTCTTCATAAAAGGTTTATCACGAGAAACGATGATATGAAGGACTGTGTAAGTAGAATACATCTAACTAGCTGTTGCTGCCCTTTCCGACCTCTTGCCATCTACAATTGTCCTGCTTTGTTTTCCCCTATCATTCCCCATGATCCACCGCACACAAAACTAGAATAGCAAAATAAATAATAGAGAAGGTCAGCCTCAGAGTGATGTGACTAAATACAAAGAACGCCCGAATACTGCCAATTTTGTCAAATGATATAAGATTTTTGGATCACTAATACAAAACAGACTAGGCAAGTTCTTTTAAACCTTATTAATGAAAAGAGCGTGAGGATTAAGAGCAGAAGAATGCTGGCGTAGAGTCATTGTTTCACTGACATGGTCATTGTTTCACTGACATGGTCATTGTTTCACTGACATGGTCATTGTTTCACTGACATGGTCATTGTTTCACTGACATGGTCATTGTTTCACTGACATGGTCGTTGTTTCACTGACATGGTCGTTGTTTCACTGGCATGGTCATTGTTTCACTGGCATGGTTATTGTTTCACTGGCATGGTCATTGTTTCACTGGCATGGTCATTGTTTCACTGGCATGGTCATTGTTTCACTGACATGGTCATTGTTTCACTGACATGGTTTCACTCATTGTTTCACTGGCATGGTCATTGTTTCACTAGCATGGTCATTGTTTCACTGGCATGGTCATTGTTTCACTAGCATGGTCATTGTTTCACTGGCATGGTCATTGTTTCACTGACATGGTCATTGTTTCACTGGCATGGTCATTGTTTCACATTGACATGGTCATTGTTTCACTGACATGGTCATTGTTTCATGGTCTGTTTCACTAGCATGGTCATTGTTTCACTGACATGGTCATTGTTTCACTGGCATGGTCATTGTTTCACTGACATGGTCATTGTTTCACTGACATGGTCATTGTTTTACTGGCATGGTCATTGTTTCACTGGCATGGTCATTGTTTCACTGACATGGTCATTGTTTCACTGACATGGTCATTGTTTCACTGGCATGGTCATTGTTTCACTGGCATGGTCATTGTTTCACTGACATGGTCATTGTTTCACTGACATGGTCATTGTTTCACTGACATGGTCATTGTTTCACTGACATGGTCATTGTTTCACTGACATGGTCATTGTTTCACTGGCATGGTCATTGTTTCACTGACATGGTCATTGTTTCACTAGCATGGTCATTGTTTCACTGACATGGTCATTGTTTCACTGACATGGTCATTGTTTCACTGGCATGGTCATTGTTTCACTGGCATGGTCATTGTTTCACTGACATGAATATATAGAGGTGAGACCTTCTCGTAATGCAGCGATATACAGTATATTGAGCTGGGGCCTGGGGGGAGCGTTACCTGGATCTTAAGTAGATGTTCATAATTATATAACATGACTTGGGTGATAGCGTCGTTAAAAGTCACTATCATTCCTCGGCCTACTGAACAAGACAGACTTTCGCAACAAATAATAATAATAATAATAATAATAATAATAATAATAATAATAATAATACAAATAATAATATACGTTATAATGTTTAAAATGTTTGAAAATCATGAAAATATTAGTACAATAATTTTTATGATTAAGTTAAAGAAGTTCAATCTCAACTGCGATATTTTACTTTTACTTCCCAATACAAGTACTGTATTGTTATCAGGGGATGAAATATTTGCTGTGTTGCTCAGTAATATATTACAATGGACTATCAGTTATAATGACTACGATTAGGGTTTTTAGTTTTTAATGTGCGTTGCACGTGTAATAAAGGGAATAAAACGCTCCAAAAAATTATGTATTTTACCACCGATGAATATGCAATATGCATTTATATAAAGTGTAAATAAATTTCCCAGGCGGATGTGTCGACGTGAAATGGAATTCATCATGAAAAACATAAGTATTTAGAAGAAAAAAACATACTGACCGAAAGAGTATTAGTTGGAAAGAGAGAATTGGATGATGAAAATGATAGGTTAATTTCCTTATTTCATCTTAATTTATGATATGTAGAAATATAATAGCACAACAAAATATCTTTATATATATATATATATATATATATATATATATATATATATATATATATATATATATATATATATATATATATATATATATATATATATATATATATATATATATATATATATATATATATATATATATATATATATATATATATATATATATATATCATGAGAAATGGCCAAAACTATAAATTTAAGGTATATAGAAAGCCCACACAGGTAGACAGTTTCATTCACTTTTTATCGAATCATCTGGAGTCTACTAAAATGTCAGTTTTTTCTGCTTTGTTCTTAAGATGTCTGCGTATTTGTGACTCTGAATTTAATGACGATGAATTGAAACGCATTCGTTCCATTGCACAGAAACTCGGGTACCCTTCTGTGTTTGTTGATCGTTGTTTTAAAAGGGCTAAAAAATCCTTTCATTCCTCTCAAACCAGACAAGTTCCTACACTTAAGAATATTTTGACTCTGCCCTATCGTAATGAATTTGTCCCGTTAGTTCGGTCCTTCAAGCTACTAAATATTAATGTTGTTTTCAAGTATGACTCAACCATTACCAATATGTTAATAAGAAATAGCCCAAGTTTGAATGTAAATGGAAGTGTTTATTGTATTCCATGTAGCAAATGTAATTGTAATTATGTAGGACAGACAGGAAAAACACTGCAGCTCAGAATCAAACAACATAAGTATAATATCAGAACAGCATCTGAAAGCAGTGCCTTGTTCGTTCATGTTAGGAATAATAATCACCCCATTGCTTGGGAAAAAAGCTTAGAAGTATTTAAATCATCTTGTGTCACAGAAAGACTTCTGGTTGAAGCTAGTTTGATTAAGGAATTAAAATCAATAAACCTTAGTGATGGTCAGTTCAAAACTGATAATATGTTACATAAATTTATTTGTCAGTGGCCCAAGGTTAAAAATGCTTTGAAAACCTTTGATCTAGATGTATGATAGTTATTTTGTGGGTCCCTTATTTTTGACCTGACCTGACTAGTCACGTCACCCCCCTTCTCTTAAGCTCCTCTACATGTGTGTTGGTGTGGGGATTAGTGGATGACATCATTATGACCTGACCTCATGTTTTTAAGGTCACCCTGTATATTTAAGCCTCTCTCTGTCCATGTAATCCAGTTGCCTCTGAAGATGTCTTGAATAAAGACGAAAGCTAAGGTACTCCGTTGTTTCCATTTTCCCGTGTGATTTTATCAAGGATATGTATATATATATATATATATATATATATATATATATATATATATATATATATATATATATATATATATATATATATATATATATATATATATATACAGTATAACAAAGAAGTCTGTCTGTCTGTCTATTTATTTGTTTGTGTGTCTGCACGAGAATCTCAGAAACTACTTTACCGATGATGGATGGTGTTATATGTAGTGATGATGGGTGGTGTTATATGTAGTGATGATGGGTGGTGTTATATGTAGTGATGATGGATGGTGTTATATGTAGTGATGATTGGTGGTGTTATATGTAGTGATGATGGGTGGTGTTATATGTAGTGATGATGGATGGTGTTATATGTAGTGATGATGGATATTGTTATATGTAGTGATGATGGATATTGTTATATGTAGTGATGATGGGTGGTGTTATATGTAGTGATGATGGATGTTGTTATATGTAGTGATGATGGATGGTGTTATATGTAGTGATGATGGATGGTGTTATATGTAGTGATGATGGATATTGTTATATGGAGTGATGATGGATATTGTTATATGTAGTGATGATGGGTGGTGTTATATGTAGTGATGATGGATGGTGTTATATGTAGTGATGATGGAT